TTTCCAAGAATGCTACTTGAATCAACTTTGTTGGCATATCAAAAGTAAATCAAATGACAAAACTTAAGTAAATATGGTTGCGAAAGGGAGAATACTTCTAAGCTGAATTGTTAGCAAATTTCATAACAAGAGTTTTTGCGCTTATTTATTTTTTTTTTAATAATACAGTGTGTAATACTCGTCTGTAATTAAACATAATTACAGCTAAAATGTATTTTTTTAGATTTCTAATGAAACGTTGAGTAATTAAAGCAAACTTTTTCATCGTTCTAGAAACTATTTAGAAACAGAAAATTAATGGCTTCAGAAATAATTATTTCTACGTCTAGACGTAGCGTAGTTAAGGACAGAATGATTGTTTTCTCACTGTATGGAACATACTCCATTTGCGTTACAAATCTACACTGAAATAAGTTATAGAAAAGGAGCAGGAGCGTATGTTTTTGAAATATAGGCTGCGGATCTGGACACATTTGAATGTGAGAACAAATTGGGTTTTCATAATTCTTAGTCAATGATAGATGCGATCTGTGACAAGTGCGGAGACCACTAAAAATATATAATCAGTGATAACCTTGGCAACTGAAACTGGGTTCAGTATTTACTGCTGGAGATATAATTACTTAGTAGGTTAGCACTTTAAAGAGAAGATGTTGATTTGCAAAACAAATTACGGAATAAAAAGGCACAAGGCCATAGAATTTTCATTTTTGCAGACGTCATTGCATAGATTTCTATCGAGCTCCTTCAACCAAACAGAAACAAAGGAAATATTACACATAAGTTTGATTCATCCAAAAAACGTCTTTGACTCGCTAATGAAACTACGAGAGCCGTTCTACATCTAAGCCAAAAATGGCGCCTAGTTTTGTTATACAAAAATGGGACAACCAAAGCGAGGGACTCTACGAACACAATGGAAATATGAAGTTCAGAACAACAGGCGAAACTTGGCAAAGAAGGCAAGAAATAAAGGCTTGTAACGGTATATAAGAAAAATAACTTAGTTGATTTGTTAGTTATAAGTCTGCAAAAACGGTCCTTGTGTCGGTTTTTCATTCAGTCCTGCATCCAACTGATGATTCCCGCAAAACCCCGGAGCGATAAATGACTCTAGTTCCACTGATTAAGTCGCAAAACCAGAGTAATTCGGTTTGTAATTCTGAAGACCCCAGTGTTGGTTCCCATATGAGGTTTAATCTCAGTCTTGTTTCAGTTCGTAAAAGAATTTATGTAGCATTAACTTATATTCTTGAATGAGGAGCCCTTTCCAGGACCTTTAGAGAAGTATAGCTGCCACCGCAGAAGTACGATTTGCAAAATCACCCGATTGCGAAGCCCTCCATACTCAATGCATAAATTAATCTGAATTTGTTCCTTTATATGCTATCTAGTTATGCTATCTTCTAATACAAGGTATTCTTGGCCGCTTCATTTCTCTCTAGAAGGTAGACTTGCTTAAATCTAAATCAGGTTCTACGGAATGATAGTACGCACCTCTAACTACTCAGCCACAGCCTACGCAATAGCAATCGATATTTCTCTCCCACTTTTCCAATAATATTTAACTTACACATCGTCTTCATTGGTTCCTGTGGAATATTTAGTTCAAAAGGAAGTAAATCTAGTATGTTTTTCTTCAGCCTTCACAGCACTAAAACCGGGAGCCCAAGTTTTCTAAAATATTCTCAGACTCTACTCAAATTCTTTGAGTTTTCAGTTCAGTATAGTCCTATAGTCCTATACAGAATTACTCCTAAATATTTTACTTCTATTGGAAGACATAGGTTTATTCCTTGAAGAACTAAAGGCTTAGACTTAATAATATTCTACTCCGCTGATGAAAAACACTTCGCGGATTGACAAATTTGATGAGCTCGTAGAGGGCGTACAATCTTATTACTGACAATAGAAGAATGGCATACGCGGGAACAAGGAGAATTGAAGTACCGCCTGACCAAGTTATCAACATGTCCTTGCTCATTCTAAATGATTTTTCTGCCCCTAGTGCAGGTTTAGGCTGTCACTGATTTTTTCCGGCAGACCAGCTATAGTTCTTTTTTCTCTTAGGGCACTTACATATGTGTTCATATATAATCCCATCCCTTTTCATATTGATATTGGTGTCTCACACTTACAAACGTATAGTAAATTTCTGAAAGATATTGCTTTTTGAATATTTGAAAGTCGTATCCATTTCTTAATCAGTCAAAAAGCTTTAACAACTTTTATGAATTCTTCTTTTTTTGACGAATTGAGGTTAAATGTTAATTAAACTTGAGAATTACTCTACTAACTTGGATTGGTCTTACTATATTCTACTTTATTTATTAGCTTTGCGAATATATTAACTAACAAAAAGGACTACCAAAGCTTTTGCCATTTTAGCAAACAGTTCACAGTCCATACAGTATGCAAGTAAATATAAACTTACAGCCAAGGATCGCCTCGAATTATCAAGCTTAAACAAATAAATATAATATATTCCATATACATAAATATTGATGTAAATAGGTATATGTATGAAAAAAACCGAAACCATTTAGTACCTCTTTTTACTTAACCCAACAATTGTGTTTTCGCTATAATTGAATTAATAACCAGATGTAGTGTTTTTAACCGTTTCCAATCGAAAGTGTTCCATAAATTGTTAGGCATGTAAATATGTATGTACATTTATCACGTGTATTAAGTGCCATCTTCTTCATTTTAATTACCCCTTTTTTTTCTATTCATATCATAGACTTGTTAACGACTCAAGTGTAATTCGCTTAAAAGTTAGTTAACCGCAAAACAACCAGTTCAATACAATCAGCAGTCAATCAAGTAGTTGAACTTCAAATGGTTGTTGTTTTTTTTTTTTAGCGCATTCGTGTTTTCAACGAGGGAGAGAGCGAGAGAGCCGCTTACTAAAGTAAATAATTAATTTTGTTTGCTTGTAAATGATGACACTTAAAATAGCTCTTCACACAGACGCCCAAGCGAAATTAATGACAGTTAATTGGTGGGAATCTGGAATCGTACACTTAGAAAAATTTTCAGCATTTACATTTACAAGTATTTACATATTAAAAATTGTCTAAAATATCACACACTTTTTGTTATAAGACACTTATGATTAAGAGTAGATGTGTGGTCACCGTATACAACACGATCTGACCCTAGGCTACCTGAACGTGGTGAATAAATAAATGGAAAGCTAACAGCGACCTCGTCGTCAATACTCGCAAAAAATTGCACAAGCTTCAGTCGTCATGGCAACAGTAGCTTTTTATAAAAATCACTAATATTTTTGTCAGTTTCACAGCGATCTAGTAGCGCATTTGAAGTTCATTGAGCGCCCTGTATTGGTTGCAGTAGAAAACTGAAAGTTAGTATAGGTATTAAAAATATAAAAATGAAAAAATTGAGGGGGTGCCTCGTTTTCTAGGATGCAAATTTTTTTCCCCGCACAAAAACTGATCCACTCTAATGTACATACATACATACGTGTATATACTTGCGATTTATTTTCTTTCGTTTTTTTCTGTTACCAACATATCTTCATGAATATTTGGCAAAACCCGAGAAGACTTAATTCAATGATAAGCCACTCAAGTATGTATGGACGTAAGTACCATTGTTTGTGTATATGTATGTATGTATGTTTGTATGTTTTTAAACAAAGTGGCATGCTTATAAAATATGTGTGTACGTATACGCATTTGTATGCGCCTTTGAAATCGATAGTGAATTCAAGTTCATGGCTTAAAACACTTTTTTGTGCGGTATTTCCTAACTCATTGACAACTCAGAGTTCACCAGTTTATATCTAGATTTACATTTTTAATTAAATCAAGCACAAATATGGCTGAGATATTGGTTTTAAAACCAACTCAAATTAGGCTAAAATCAATTTCATCAGCATCGCTTATTATTATTTTTCTTGTTTGGCGCTGTAACCGCGGTTAGGCGATTTTGTTCAGTCGCCACACAGTGGTGCAAATGCAAAATTTACTATTCTAAAAGGTCTACAGCCTACGATTCTTGACGTAAACTCCTTTTTTTAATGGAAAGGTAATGCAATTTTTAAGAGGTTTAAGGAGGAGATTATACTTCACACTTTATTACTCCAAGTCTCTGTTTTAGATACATCACAAAACGCTCCATTGTACCCGAGACGAGCTTAATAATGCTTTACTCTTTTGGATTTTTCATTGATAAAATCATCTAACAAAATAACATGATTTACTTGTACCTAAAAATACACATCAACTTTGGACCCTTATTTGGAATATGATAGCAAAGTTAGTTAGTTGATACGAATTAGATACAAAATTACCTCGGAGAGTACTTCTGCGCCCACACCAGTTATAGAGGGCAAATGGAATGGAAATTTTAACTCATAATTTTTCTAAAGTCTAGACGAAGGAAAAATGTAAAATGAAAGTGTATGTAAGACACAACTGTGCCCAAATTGTCTCGAGTTTCAAGGAACTGTACCTTTCAGTATGAATGCGAAGTTATCTACAATCGATCTTTTTTTCATTGGCTCGTGTTCCATGTGTATTAGACCGTACCACGCTATAAGCAAACAAAAAAGGTTTTGCCATTAACCCCTGGGTCTAAAATATTTTTAGAAGATAGTTTCGAAAAATATTTATTTTTCCTTTGGCTGAACCCAGGGTTTGCTTTTTGAAATTTTTCGGTGACACCTACATTTAGCCATACTTTTTTTTTTTAATATTCCCGCTGGAATAATCAAAATACCTCCTTATCAGTTTAAAGATTTTTAGGGAGCTTTAATTTACTGATACTAGGGTGGTAGGAACTGAGATCTGGAGGTTGAGTGCTACTAAGGAGGGCCTTGCAAAAGTAATTTAGACTTAGGCGAGAACTGTGTACTTTTCAAAACTTTTTAACTTAACTTTTTAACTTAAATTTTAAAAGACAATTCCAAAAAAAATTCCATAAATTTTCATTAAAACACTAAATATAAAATTAAATTCCTTTAATTTTAAACTAATTTTTTTAACTAACATTTTTTAAAATGCGCTTAGAGCTGATTTTTCAAAGCTACGTTAAAAATATTTACATATAAAAGTTTAAAAAAAAATTTTAACAAAGCATGCAGTTTCACGGAAAAAAAGGATATAGCAACGAGTACCTATAAAATTGGTATTTAATAGATACATATGTACATACATATGTACACATACATGTGTAGACTTTTTCAGAGCACATTTATTCGGAAATCAACAGGCGTAGTAAACTTAAGCAGTTGCCATATTTCTTCTTCACCTTGAAACTACTTGCTTAAGTTTAAGTTAACGATTACTTAAGCTATGGCGCCCTACATCCTTAGTAGGTGGACAACCGCTATATAGTACTATAATATTTATAGCCAACCAAGATTGAAAAGCGCCACTTACTTAAAATTAAAAACTAGAAATTAAGGCAAACATTCATGTGCGGGCGGGTACTACGTCTGCGCCAGCATCTCCAATATCCAATCTATGTACTGTTGTGTATTTGTATAAACGCCTGGTATGCCAATGCGGCCGCAACCAATGCCGTATGAGACCACGCCGAGTGCATAGAAGCGTGTCACGCCTTTATATGGCTAATGTAAACGAATTTAAAAAAAAGGTATAGAATAATTTTTGTTTGTTAACATTTCTCGCAAAACTCACCTCCGCCACCATTAGCGGTCCACCCGAATCACCGCCACACGTATCACGTCCGCCACCCAAATCGCCGGCACATACCACCGTATCGTCGAACTGTTGATTGGATACAAGCCTTTTGTTCGCTTCATAGCTACGTCGACAAACAGAATTATCCATAACTTCAATTTGTAGTTCTTGTAGTATATTTGATGAGCGCCCACCTTCCATGACACGTCCCCAACCGGCTACAAAGGGATGATAGCCGATGTAGGATTTACTGCGCAACTGCTGTGATGTGGGTAAGCAAATGGGGCAAATGAAATCTGTGCGGGGAGTTTGATGACATTCGATTATACTTAATGTTAGAATTTACTTATGTGTGACTTGCCTGTAAAATCGACATTTTTCTCCAGATATAAGACAGCAATGTCATAGCGGCGATCTCTACCACCGAAATTTGGATGACGCACTGACTGGTTTAAGAGAAATAAATATTAATGTTGGTGGATTTAAGTTTATAGTTACTCTTTTTTTATAAAATAAGTATCCACTTTATCTGAGAATAAATACAAGAGATATAGTAAACAAAAAATCTAGCACAAACGTATGTTCATCGTTAAGTCCTTAAAGTTTTTCATAGTACCAATTACTTTTACAAAACAGATCCTCTGCGGTCTCACAAGGAGTCCTGCATTGAGGTGAGTTTCAACAGCGCTTTAACGAACCTAACTTGAACTCATATATACATACTTACATATCGAGCCCTAACCGCCAAAATAACGTAAACGACATTTTTTTCAAAATTTTCTTTTTGATGCAGAAATGCATCTAGATGCTCTAGGAATATTTCTGCATCAAAAAGAAAATTTTGAAAAAAATTTCGCTTACGTTATTTTGGCGGTTAGGGCTCGATATATGCTAAATAACTAACCCATGCAAACGCAACTCACCTTCACTACATCGATGTCCAAATGTTGGGTTTCCCTTTCGGTGCTCAAATCATATTCGCCTAAGCGTACAAATGATCTGAAAAATTAAAAATAACCAAAAAGAAAAACGTTACTGTATTTGTTCTGTGAGCATCACAATTTCATCTCTCGCAACTGCAAATAACTCACAAGTCTCTCAAAATGCAGTGAGCTGCGGTCAGTACGTGTCGTGCTGTTATCAATGCGCCACCACAGCGAAATGGCGATAAGCTATATCGATCATAGCCGATTAGAGCCATCCATGGCCAAGATCCAATGCTGCTATTACCACCGCCTACAACTTTCAATGTTGAAAGATGCGTCAGGCCACAGCCTTCGTCTTCGGATGGCAGATGCCATGCGGCATCATTTGAACGCTGCACCGTTTTTTTCTCCGCCACCGGACAGCAAATATTCGTGCCGATGCTAAAGCAGATAGCATTCGACAATTCCAATTGCCTGCGAAATTCCTTATCGGTGGGATTTTGTTGTGCGCGTGTGATTAGTTCGGTGCAAGTTTGAAATGCTAAAAGGGTGCAGAGAGGTGGGTAGAGCGAAAGATAGGTATAAATAATCAATTGTTATTGCATATAAGCAGAGTGAGAGAGCGATAGGGCGTAAAAGTGAGCAAGCGTGTCAGCAGTGTGACCAGATCATAGCTATTGCAGCTGAGTTGTCTTAAAAAATAGGAAAAGTTGGAAGCGGCATAAAAGCGGTTAACAAGAAATTAGGACTTTTATGCTGAAGGGGTATTTACGAGAGCGCCGCAATCAGTCCCTGACTTTTTAGACGTATTTTTGAGCGAAGATTTCATTTTTGGAAACAAGTCCCTTGCATTTCCAATTAGCACCAGTTGGCATAGAAAAGAAATGACTGGCGTACTTCATGGGGCTGGGCCAGAAATGCATTAGGCATTTACAGTATTAATCTTGAAGAAAAAGCAGAAGTAAAGTCTCTTAGTAATATGATTTCTTGAGATCGTAAAACTGCACATAAAGCTTTTCAGGCGTACAGCGATTTTTATACCACCACCACTTTATTCAGGTATAAATTTTATATTGCGGCCTAAAAAGCTTAATCTGGAGTTCTAACTTAACCCTTACAACGCTGTTTCAGCGACGATAACCTACCTACACCATTCGCCGGAATACGGATTTGGATTTAGCTCCCAGTGATTATCTGTTGTTTTAAAACCTAAATAAATGCGTCTGGGAAAGAACTATAAAATTCTCGTTGTAAGAAACACCTATCTTGGCTGTGAGTCTCCATTGTGATGCCGTAGAAGAGGGGCTCTATTTATTTCATTGTCCTAGGATTGAAAACAAATTCGTCGTTCCGATGAATATCCTAAAATCGACGATGCTAGCTGTGCTTAGTTCAGGCAGACACTCAAGTAAGTGACGATGGATCGAATGTCGACAGGATCTTCGTAACGTGAGGCAGTGTCATAGGTATCTTTGTACTTCCTCTACATCGCGGCAGCTGCGACAAGAGTCACTCGACTGGAAATTTTGCCGGGGTATTGATGTAAGAAAACTTCGTTAATTCTCAAATGAGGCCACTTTTTCTTCAAATAACTAATTCAAATAGTTGCCTGTTGAATGTTTCATTCCATATTTAATCAGTTTACCATGTGCATCAGTTTCGGGTTAACCTAGTTGGCCTTCACATCCCCCTTTGCCTTCATCGGTGCTAATTTACCTGTGAAAATTATTCTGTTTCGATTTATGCCTGTCCTTCCGTGTGCTGTGGTAGATCAGTGCTTCGTCGGGGTTATAAAATGGTGCATTCGGTTAGCGGTTCCACCACAGCAAGTAGCTCTTCGAAGCTCTAGTGCGTTTGTGGCCAAATGAGAGTCACGGTGGCAACAATTTTAATAGTTTTATTATACCCAAATAGTCATTCGAAATCGAATTCATTGAGCCATATGATATGCCTATGGCTTTTGCACTTTCGGACGCTTTCATTTTTCGTTCGTTCAATCCCATATCGTAGATCTTTTCAAGTGTTTCGTTCTAGTAGAAGTGCGAGCAGTTCAAAAAGTAGCGAACTTACTGATTCTGTTTGGTTTAAAAAAAAAAATATTATTCGATTTAATTTCTGGCCGAATTGCCTTTACAATGTTCTCTGCTTTCAAAGGTACTCGTAAGCTACCTTTTAGGTTTTTTGCTATCAAAAAAGTAAGTTATTTTTTACTTATACCTTACCTGTACTTTATTTAAAAATATGTATGTATATATATGTATATAAAATTAATACTTAAACAAAAAAAAATACTTGTAGTAGAAAAAGGCCACGACGCTAAACCTTAAATTCCGAGTTTAGTACAAAAAAACAATACTAAATCTAGCATCGGAAAGCTTAAGCTGGTCATACTGCGCGCAAGTTATAAAAACACAGAGGGCGTTAGAGCAAAACAACTCACGTTTGCAGGTGCCATCGCTGCCATCGTGTGGCACTCGACAAGTTTCCGGTGGCGAGTTTTTGTCATCCGACGCTGAACGTTCATCATCGCTATTTGTTTGAGAGGCAACTGTTGTTGTGCTCGTAGTTTTTATTGTCGGCTGGTGTTCATCTGCTGACGTTGGCATCGTTGTGGTGGGAAGAATATGATTATCATTTTGATTTGTATCTTCGAAGACTGGGCGAGTGCAGCAAAGCTAAATATCCACGTTTATGTAAATATGAAAGTTTTACAAACCAATTGTGTATATTAGCCGTTAAAACTTACAATCGGGTAGTTGTCGTGAGTCACACGATTATAGCAAA